TTTTGTCCTGTTTGAGTTCCTGTCCTGACTTTCTTTGATGATGAACAGCAATATAGAAGTGTAAGCTAAATAAACCCTTTCCTCCCTAGCTTGCTTTTTGGTTATGTTGTTTCTTCACAGCAATAGAAGTCCTAAGACACCTGTTATTTTTTATCTTTCCTTGGATATTGTTTCATTATAGTTATTGATTCTTTGTAGACATCTACTGGGAGATTCCTTTGACATGAAGGAAATTAGAAACACCCCCTTTAAAGCCTCACACAGCTATCCCTGCTATTTGAAGAGATCCTTGAAGTCTCTGTGGTCCATACCTCAGATAGGCTTTACTGAGCTTGGTGTGACCTGCAGTCGTACTAGTGTAACTGTGACTTTGTGGAGGAGTTTGTCTCTAATCTCTCCATGGACTCAGATACAAATCTGTGACTGAAAAGCACAGGAATAGCTAGGGGTGGCATTCATGTGCTTATTCCTTACAGTAAAAATATTTACAACATAACAAGTGACCATCCCTTAGTTGGATACAGATACTGGAAAACATTCAGGATAATGCCACATCCAGTGGGTATGCAGCCAGAAAGGCCAGCTGTTGCTGGGCCATAACTGGCAGTAATTAGTGTATCGTGGTTGTCCAGGTATATCACTATTTTGTTCACTGGCTTGAAGAATGTAGATCAGCTGTCTGAACTCAGCATTAACCTTTCTCCATGTTGGATACAGAAAAGCTCAAACAGCACAGAAGAAAATGGCCTTCCTGTCCTGCAGGAGAGCTAACTTTTAACAATTTAAATAACTTCAATTCTCGTTTGAGAGAAAAACAGGTTTTATTTTCTTTCTAAAAACAAAGACTTCTTAAGGAAGCCACATTACAGCTACTTTTTGGGGGGTTTTGCATGAATCTTTTGTCAAAACTTTAGGGGTTTTTTTCTTAAAAAATATATAGTAATATATTTTTATCAACTATAAAAATATCTATACATTTATATTATATATATAGTTGATAACTATATATTTTATCAACTATAAAAATATATAGTTGATCATCTTAACAGCATGGGTGATTTTAAATATTAAAGTGACTTATCAGGGCATACTTTTCAAGCATGCTTTACAATGTCTAATAGTAAATATCTTTTGAAAATTTCAAGCTGACATGTGTGTAACTGGTGTGTTATTTCACATTGGGACTTTATTCCTTTTACTCTAGTTACACAAAGAATTTAGCTTGGTCTAAATTCTTTATTTATTATTATTTATTTATTATTTATACTGTTGAATAACTGTCATCTCCCAAGGTGAAATACAAGGCAAGCGGCTCCTGGTGGGGAGGGCATTGAACACTATGGATGCAAAGCAGGAGTTTTCTTCTGTGCAAATTCAGAACACATTCCTTTCACTGAGGGAAAGCTCAGTTTTCCGGCAGTGTTTTTGACTTGTAGTTTAATTGAGTACTGTCCTTGAGTGCTTGGCATGTCACATTTGAGGTCATGTAAGTGTGGGTGATTTTTCTTCAGTAGGAGTCAGTGATAGGCAGGACATTACTTTGTCCTGCCCTAAAAGAATATGCACTGGAGATAATCTGTGGATAATTGTGCAATTAACGTTCAACCTTTGAGGAAAGACCATGTTTTCCAGTGTTATAGTTCCTAATCTCCCAATAGTGTGAAGATTTATTTGCTCATGCCTCTTTAAGTAAGTACTTTCTCCATTTCTCTAAAACTTGATTTTTTTCTTTATAGTGCACACTGATTTTATACGCAATTTATTAATTCCATGTATACTTTAAAAGGATAAAGATAGTTATATATGAAGCTTGTCTCATTGTTTTTTCTGTTTTGGAAGAATTAATACTTTAAAACATGAGGCAATGAAAGAATCAGACTAACTTTGTAACCTATGTTTCTTTATATTTTCAAGTTTTAGGCCCATGTTAATTAAAGCCTCTAAGTGCTTCTCCAGAGAGCCGAGGAATGTAAAAGTTCCTGACATTAGCCATCTGTGAGGGCAGAGATAAGGAAGAAAACAAGCAGAGATCTCTACGAAATGGAGAGAAAATCACCGGCTGGCGCCTGTGAGATGAGCTTTGTTTGGAAACTGGGCCAAATGGCCCCAATCCTTCTCCTGACCTTTGATCCAAAGCCTGTAACCCCCACTCCTCATAATAGACACGGGATGAGTTAATCACTCTCCCACCTTTAACCGTGGCTATATCTCATATATGGCAGGAAATTCCAAACTGACTTGAAGATGAGATATCTGGACAGGGCTGACCAGACCTAAGGGTGCCCAGAACCAACCAATTATTTTAAAAGTTAAATACCTCATCCAATCATGAATTGCCAAGAAGGCAACCCCTAGAATTCCCATGCCTTGCCTTTTAAAAACCTAAGGTCTTTGTCTCCCTGTGCCACTCCTTGCTAACCAGCAGGGGTGACCCCATTGTGCAATGGTCAGAATGAACCTCTTGCGATTTTGCATCGATGGATGATTAGTTTCCTGAGTTCTCTTCATACCTTCTTATATTTAGGCTCTTGCTGGGCCTAACAGCAAAATATATAACAAGTGAAGAACTTAGAAACTGTGTAGTTATTTAAGATCCTATAGGCATTGTAGTGTATAGTACAGATTTGGGGAAGTGTTTGAGTTGTCTAGTACCTGTTTAGAGGGCTGAGTACTTAAATCTAATAAACTGAATTAACATGGCTCATGAATCACGCAGTCATCTAGTGTGTATCTCAGAGTTTAACTTTGCTGTGTTTGCTCAGCATATGTTATATGTAAGATCTACTTGCTTTAGTGCCCTTTGTTTTATTTTCCCTGAAGCTTTTGTTGAATTAGAATTAACAGCAAATCTGACAGATCTGAGGAGACCTACAAAAATGTGATTTTATGGTGGAGATATGCCATGTGCACACAGAAAGGTCGGTTGCTTTAAATATGGGTCAGAAATGCTTTAACAAGCTTCTTTACCTAAATGCTTCCTAGAGACTAATAACATAATAAAAGACAAAATTTTTGGATCTTAAACCACATAGTGTGAATGCTTAATTCACAAAATAATATTTGTATAAGCAGAATGCCTACCATTAGCTAGTTTTTTTCTTTGTATCTGTTTTGTAAGAAGTCCATCAAAACCAAACTTAAATCTGAATTCTGTTGCTAGCAACACATATTATCTACATTGTTTCATTTTTCACGTTTGTGCTTTATCCCATGTGCTGATCTATTATTTTATTACAACTGATTTGTTTATGATGACTAGATTCTGGTCTGGAAACTGAATGTTATAGTATAAATATAGCTCAGGTTAGCCTGTTATACAATCATTTCAAGGATCTTAAGGCTCTTTTTTGTTCTTTTTTCTTACATTCATTAATTTTGTTACTATAATATTTATTTATTTCCTTCCATGTTCCAAGTAGGCTACTGTGGTGCTGTCAGGGATAAGAGAGATTCAGTCTCTAGCCTGCAGAAGTGCATTTTGGCGGAAATGATGGTTATTATGAAAATACATGACTTCTTAAAAATTACATATATAATTAAACCTACAAAAACTACCTTAGGTTATAATAGTGTCATTTCCTTTCACCCTCTTTTTTCCCCCCCTTTCACCCTCTTAAGAGAACCATTGCTCGCAAGTGTCTTTCCTTCCTGAGAAGACACTAAAAACTTTTCTTTCCAGGTGGGGCAGACATCTGTCTCTATGACAGAGCTAAGGCTTTCAGTGTGATGCTTTTTTAGGCAGGGTGGCAGAAGGATGGGGAGATGAGGAAAAGACAGCCCACATAGTCTGTCTGTCTGTCTGTCTATCTATCTATCTATCTATCTATCTATCTATCTATCTATCTATCTGTGGGTTTTTTTGTTTGTTTTGAGACGATGCCTTGCTTGTAGCCCAAATTGAACTGTACTCATTATGTAGCTTAAGATGCCCTTGAACTCCCAACAATCCTCTTGTGTCAGCCTCCTAGGTGCCGAGATCATGTTACATACAAACATGCATACATATATATATATATGAACAGTATTATAAAATGAGAAATTTCAGAAATTCAGAGGCAATGATGGAATGCCTTCTAGTTTGAGTGATCAGCTGATGTTTCTTGAAAAGGATGTCTTAAGCGATTTATGAAAAACAAATAGGACTTTGGTAAGCAAATAGGATGGATAAAGCTTTCCAGGTAAAGGGATGGGATAAACTACAACAAGAAGGTGGGAGAGTTCAAGGCATACTGAGGGACTAGAGAAAAACACAAGAAAAATGGAAAGAAATCATCTAGAAAATAGTTACAAGGAAGTGGAAGAAAGCTGGTGGAATAAACCAGGCCAGATCATAGAGGATTTTAAAGACATATTAAAGGATGTAATGAACTACTATGGTGACTTCCAGTATTTCACAAGAAAGAATAATTAATCAGCACTGTTGAGGAGAATGACTACAGAGGATAGCCTGGAACCCAAACCTCAGCTGGCTCTGAAACTAGAGTAAGTAAGATGATCTCGATTGTCAGAGTTCATCTTCTCCATCAGTGTTTAGAGTTTGAAGGAAACATGTGGCCATGCCCAGAACTCTCCTACAGAGCCTCTTCAGAATGAAGAGGCCCCTTCCCTCTGAAGACTCAGTGCTCACTTTTTAACTGTCTTCAAATACAGGGTTTCCTTACCTATTACAAAGATATGGTTGGCTTCAGAGAGCCTGAATACAAATATTTAATATGGAAAAATCATAATAATGGGAAAGGGGGCAGATTTTGCTTGACAACACCACAAATATTTCAGAACTGATTTTAGATTTATGAATAAATAATTATTCCAGTCTCTGGGTTAAATATTTAAAACTCAGCTTCTTTTATTAATTCATGTCTGATTTTTCTGAGGTGTACATTTTCACTCTTCATTTCTGTCTTTTAGTATGCCATAATTATTCTTCTTATCCCATCCTTTTTCAGCTCGCTGCATGAAAATTTATTTAAACGTGGCACACAAATCTTTGAAAGAAGAAAAGGAAATTCTGTGTGTGGGTCTCAGCAGGAGTAAAGCTGGTGCAGCTTAAAATAATGCTGAAAAAGAAGCACTCATCTACAGGGAGGGTGCCCCTGATCCTCTTCCTGTGCCAGATGATTAACGCCCTGGATGTACCTCTTGATCGTGAGTATTAACAGTTTAAAGCTCTTAGACCAGAAGACCAAACCTTCCAGCATTTACCATCACCCTGAGCTGTGTTTATGAGGAAAGTGTCTGCATGACACTGAAAAGCTAGTCAAAATTAATTTGGCTTTTATCTTCAGCACCTGGTGTTTATGAAGACACTGAAGAAAAGGTAGTGAAAATGTCTAGACATGCTGTCTTTATCTTTGCTTCAGGTGTCTTTTGCGTACAGTGGTGGGAGTGGTCTGAGAAGAAACTGGTTCAACTGTCCTATCTTCCCAGTGGGCAAAGCTTTGTAGAAGGACCATGTGAACCACTTTACAAGGATGATGCAGAGCCCCTTCCCACTTATTGTTTTTATTGTGTCACTTTCTCCCTTCATTACTGAGGCATCTCTGAAAAAAACAAAATCAGAAAATGGTCTTGCTAATCCTCAAACAATATCCCCAAATCACCCATACTTCATACTTTGTTTATCCTGATCCTACTGCATTTCTCACTCTCATTTTCCAAAATGTTCAATGTACATTATAGTCTTCCTAGCCTGAGTGGTTTGTTCATAGATAATAAAGACAAAACTGACTTCCTCCTGGATATGTTCCTGCAGCAGAAAGCAGAATTTCAAATCTGAACAATTACTGTACTTCACAATTGATTTTCCCATTTACCCCCCAATCTACATAACCTCTTTAAAACCATTAGCTTCCTGGACAGAACATCCGTTTGGCAAGCTTTCTAAGGTGCAAGGGAAATAGCTGTTTCCTGGGGTTATCCAATTGCTTGTGTGTCCTTTTCTGCTGCAGAAGCTGCAGCTGTCGTTGGAAAGAAGAGACAGATTTCTTGCACACTCAGCTCATTTCCTGGGCCATGCTTCTCTATACCAAGGGGCAACAAAAAGAAGCCTTTTCATTTTTAAAGTTATTCATCTTTAATTTAAAATATGTAAATATATTAATTGAAATATGCATTTTCTTAAGCTTATTAAAGCAGGAGTAAATATACTTATTTAATAAGTAAATAGATGCACTGAAAAGAGGGAAAAGCAGTAGGGGAAATGCTTTGTTCTCTCTTGTGTTAAAAGTATTCCTCCTTAATATGACTGCTCAAACCATCAGGGGAAACAGGCACCTAGGGCTAACTTAATTATGGCAGCTAAAAGAGAAGAGACACAGGCATAATGAAAATAATGTCACAAGTAGCCTAGGCTTTCGTGCATTAACCTTTGCAAGCTGTAATGACAGGCAGCCCTGCAGAATGATTGAAACTGCAAACACATCCTCATTCCACACATCCTTTTTTTCAGCATACAAAATGGCACTATTTACAGGACCCAGCAATCTGGGTGGCTGAGAATTCCAAAGCAGAAATATGCTAATAGCATAAAACCATCTTGAAGAGTAACCACAGAAATGTGAGAATCTTAAATCAGTGTTGGATTTGACTCAGATGGAAAATTGTAGTGAGATTCAATCGTGAGGTATCATCATGTGCATCAGTGTCCAGAATAATAAGATTGAACACTACACATAATGTGACAACTCAATTGTAGATTTCATTTATTTTTCAAATTGAGCACAGTTATCAGTACAGCACAATGTGTATAGGATAGAATTAGCTACTCCTACCCTGGAAGAGTTGTTTGTTTGTTTGTTTATTTGTTTGTTTGTTTTGTTTGTTTCTTTGTTTCCCCTTCAGCGTAGCCTTTATTCTCCCATATGCTGGTGTGAGAAGCTGCTGCAGGGGCAGAGCAAAACAAGAGTACCCACTTTCTTTTTCTTGTAATGTAATTGTGACATTGTAATGTCACAATTTTAACTTTCACAATATGGGTTCTTTTCCCTAGGTCAAATCAAGTAGACAAAATGCTCCTTTTTTATCTTTAGAGTGCTAACATTCTGACTACTAACATCTGATTTTCTTTAATCTTCTTTGCCCACTCACCTGCTGATACTGATGGGAAAAAAGCAAAGCTTCTTGATGACTGTAAGTGTCTTTCTACAAATTACTAGGCAGTGTGAAAATGTGACCGTGTCCTTGTTTCTTGAATTAATAGTGTGAATCAAATAAACATAATTATGTTTTGTGATTAGTGTTTTTTTAAGCATGTTGCTTACTATAGCCAAGTACCTCATTTGAATGCTAAGGTACAAATATAATGTTTATAACCTGCATGAGTTATGGAGACTTTGATACTACTTTGCCAACCTGCCGTTCTACTAACATCCAAGCTGTATTCACATCTGATGTAACTCAATGAGAAAGTTAAAAAAAAATGTAGGGAGAATAATTATTTTGTTTTAAATGCCATCAACTGGAACAGACACATCTTTTGCAGAGGTTTGGAAATTGGGTGTATATCAGAAGCTTCACTCAGCTTTAGCCTTCAGCACTGGGTAGAACAGTGTTGCTAGAATTATAAGTGAAAAAGTCTGGCAAATTAGAAGCTTGTTTTGAAATACACAGAAGACAGACCACTTCAGTCATATCGCTCCTGGGAGGCTTCCTATAAGCAAAAATTTCTGCTGCTTCTGACAGCTGGGTAGCATTTATCATCCACTGAAAAGATGGTCCAGTTTCATACATTTTCCTTTGATGTTGAGTTAAACAGAGAACTCTTGGTAAGACCCTACAAAGCATTTGTTAATTGCAATATGATCTAAGCACTATTCAAAAAGAAACCTCCAGATGGCAAACTCCTGGTACAGCTGCAGGCACAGGAGGGGAAGCCCTGCATTTGAAACCACCAAATTTGCATGTCTGGCACTGTCTTACCCCATCTCATCTACCTCCTACCATCCCCAAGAAGGACTGGATTAAATCACTCCTAGGAATCCCTTCTATCAACATCTCTCTTCACTATTTTGACAGTGTAGGACCTCAAGAATTCCTTTTATTATCCCAAATACTGTACTCCCAGAATCTGAAGACTGATCACTGCAAAATGAACCTGGCCCAAATCAGAATGCTTGAAGCACAACTGAACAATCCCAGTGTTGGCATCTACTAAAAATTTTTACACAATGTGTTAATAATCCTTCTAGTCACAGTTGGAGGCCAGGTCAACTTTTGAACTTCCCTTTCCTTCTGAGGGCTTACAGGGGTTGAGGTTCAAGTCTCCCAACTAAAACAACAACAACAACAAACAGAGAGCCATTAACCTTCAGATAAAACTGCTGACTAGCATTGAAAATCAGCAAGATAAAGGCAGGAAGGTCCAAAGTTCAGCAAAGCAAGCTGGAACAGGACTACTTCATTGCACAGTCCCAAAGATGCCGCAACATGTTTGCACTGGGGGCCAGGGAAGCCTTTGTCATGGGAAAATGCTCTACACATTGTGAGATGTATAGAGACATGCTTGCCCTCTCCCTCTACAGGTAACAATTCTATACCAGCCCTGGTTATGGTAATGCAAAGATCCCTGGAAGGGCAAAGGCAAGGGCAAGTTGCTCCTTGTTGCCAACCACCACTTTGTGTGAATATCGCCCCTTCTGCTTAGCACTGGCCAAGCAGAAACTAGGTGAGAATTAGTCTCTGCTTGGTGCCTTTCAGAGAAGTCAAGCTGTTTGATTTCTCTGAATAACAAACAAGGTTGAAATTGCTGGCCTCTAAAGTGCCTTCCCATTCTAATAAGAATCTCACTTAGAGGAAAGAGGAAAGATCCTGATCTCACAAGAGGAAAGACCATAGTTTTAGAGCAACTTGGAGCAAGCATGCTCAAGGTCACTATCTAGACTGGCTTTCCTCAGGATGAATTGCTCTGGGTCAAACTGTTAGCTTTACAGTTTCACAGTAAAGGACCAGGTAACATTTTGAAGAGCACATAGAAACATAGCCCCCTAGGAAAAAGAATTCCAATCTTATTACTAGTCCACATAGGAGTGTTTTCTCTTTATTCCTAATCCATCTACCTCCTGGCTCTAAGGCATGTCAAGACTCCAATTTAACAATCTTTTAAATATGAGTTTATCAAAAGTTTCCCCAGGATATATTAATTTAAATCATTAGCATACTAATGAATGTTATGTCAGTGACTATCCTACTAAAGATTCAAATCTACCTCATACTTATATTGACAGACATCACTTGAAATGAAAGAACCATGAATTTCTCATTGTTACATCAGAAAAACAATGTTTGAATATTAGATTGGTATTAGTAACTATTTTCCCAGACTTTTGGTCTGGGAAAATGTACTTTGTAGTGTGTATGATTGTTACCAAGGGGAAGCTATATCCTGACTTCTCAACTTTAGCTGAGTTTTAGTTGAAAAACTAATGATTTACTGCTACAACAAATAACTAAGAATAATTGTGACATATTAATCTAAGGCAAGTGATTTTAATATTGAAAAAGTGGTTACTATCATGATAGTAAATCATTTATTTCTTTACATTATTCTCTGTTTTACAATTAAGTGGTGCAGCCTCCAACCATCACTCAACAATCACCAAAAAACTACATTATTGATCCTCGGGAGAATATTGTAATCCAGTGTGAGGCCAAAGGGAAACCTCCTCCAAGGTAAGCCTGTATCCTATTTTTGATAGTACTTGTTTTACCTTTTGTTTATCTAACCAACTCCCTGGCTCATTTCAGCCATTCAAAGGTGTTTAATGTATCTTCTTAGGTTCTGCATATCTCTAAAGTATCAGTCATTGGTTCATTGTCTCATCTCTCAGATTAATTACAGCTCATTTGATTAAACCCAGATTTTTGCATTTTACTATCCATCTTTTCTGTAAAATGCTCATAATTTGTGGAATGATGGGAAAAGACCCTCTTATCTTGGTTCTCACACCAATGGTTTTTGATAAGGCCAAACCCCTTTTATTTGAGCTTGGTTTTCTTCATATGTTGAAAAGTCAAGAATAATTTGAATTGATGGATTCTACGAACTCTCCTACCTCTATACTGGCCATAGAATAGTCCTACATACAGTGTTCTCTATACTTATTGGGGTTGTCTATGTGGATCTTAGCATTAGCACTTCATAATCCAGTCTAAACAAAACATTATAAAGATGGGAAACTTAGGGAAATCCTGCTGGACTATCTATGGAGGCCCCTACAGAGAGTGACACACCATCTAGTCCAGTAATGTGGAGAATTCTATAGAGTTTGATTGTTAAAAATAGTAACTATTATAACAATTAAATTCATGACTGTTAAATTGTAACTGGTGTGCTTCAGGATTAGGACAAGCAGCTCTAGCTCCTCATTTTTTATTTATAGAAAAAAAGGAGGAATGTTAGTATTTAGGCAGCCTGCTTCTGGGTTGCCTAGCAACCTATGATGCCATTATGTGTAGCAGGCCAGGTAGCCACACCTGGCAGGCGTGGTTACATTGCTCCTTAAAAGGATCAACCTACCGCTTTGTCTCTCTCTTAGCTCTTGCCTTCTCCCCTTTCTCTGTTGGGGTGCCCCCCCCTTTCCCTTATCATGACTTGCTTTTTCCTTCTCTCTCTGTCTTCATCTCCATCTAATAAACCTCTTTCATATAAAATCAGCTGTGCACATCATTATTATTTATTTGGTCCTAACAGTAACAAGGCATAATAATTTATAATTAATAAAAGTAGGAATGTTTTAGGTATTTTATGGCAAATTTATATATTATACACCTGATTCTAGATACCTATGTATGTCAACAGTTCCATCAAAGCTTTATTCCAAAACATATTGTAACCCAATCATATTGCTGAAAACCAGCTTCAAACAGGCCTCAATGTGCCTTTGAGCTTCATTCTTAGTTAATGCCCACCATACTTGTATGGCCAGACTTCTCAGGAGTTAGTGGTAATGATTTTTTGCTGTGAGAATGAACCTGTCCTGTGTAGTGTGGTATGTTTTTCAGTCTTCTTGACCTCTGTCCATGAGGTAAGTGTAGCCTGCACCACTACCACTTCCCGTCCTAGCTTTTGTAAGCACCACTGTAAGCATAAATAGTAAGAAAAGAAATCTAAGTTGAAAAACACAGGAAAGTTTGACATGTATTTCTCTCCATCATCTCACCATCACCAAGGTGTGACTAATTAGGAAGTATTTAGTCACATGAACACATAACATTTATAGAAAGACATTTTTTATGTAACTAAACTGAAAAAAAATTAATCTTGGTTGACAATTTGGTATATCTTCTAATATACATACATATATATATATATATATATATATATATATAATTATTTCTAGAATTAACAATCCTAAAGTGCACCTTACATAGAATTACCATTTTTTAAAACTAACATTTAAAATACTCCAGAGTTTTAACTCTTCTCCAAGGCTCTAATTTTATACTTTAGTAACTTGAAACAGATATGATCAGCTTCTCACTCAAAGATAATCAATACTTACGGAAGCTTTTCTTGTCAGCTTAGAGCACATTTTTATAAACAGTTTAACTATGTGAACTGTTAATGAAGTTCAGAGACTGCCTTGAAAAGTGTTTTTTTTTTTCCTTAGAAAAAAAATGGCAGGCAATTTGTGTTAGATTTGAGCTGATTTTAAAGAAGTATATGCCTCAAAATGTAAAAACAGCACTTTTTTTCTGAATCGTGATTTGGTATAATCTTTTAAGCATGGAGACCTTTTACTAAATATTGAAATCTAACAATTACTCCTGAAACTCCATAAAACCTATTATTAAAGGGGTATATAATCCTATTTTTTTCTAGACTATTAATGACTTTTAATCTTTGATGTGTTGGGCAGCTTTTCCTGGACTCGTAATGGAACTCATTTTGACATAGACAAAGACCCTCTGGTCACCATGAAGCATGGCTCAGGAACACTCATCATCAACATCATGGCTGAAGGAAAAGCAGAGACATACGAGGGAGTGTACCAATGCACAGCAAGGAACGAGCGCGGAGCTGCTGTCTCTAACAGCATTGTTGTCCGCCCGTCTAGTAAGTAGTTTGTCAACCCAGCTCATCATCTGTCACGTTATCCAAATATGACCAAAGAAGCAAGAACATAGCTTCCAATATTCTCACTTTGGCTTTCATAAAATTAATGTCTACTATTTTCTGCTAACAACCTAGCAAGCTCCTCAGCCTAGTGTTTGCCAATCCATTGTGTCCTTTATCCAAGTCCTGAATGAAAGAACAAGGCTAAAAAAGGTGTTTATTCCCTAAATCGATCTAGATATTTATTTCTTGTGTAGTTTATTATAAGATGAAAATAAATTCTTATGATATGGTTAACAAATTACTATGTGATTTCTTTTAACAATTGTTTCAAATTTGCATTAAGATTTGATGGCCCTTTTTACAGTAGTCAGTGTTAAAATCCTCTCAACAGCCTTAATTATATTTAAAGAATAATGGCCATTTGTAGTTATGGTTATTTTGAAAACATTTAAAATTACATATTTAAAATTGTACATAAAGAAATGTAAATTGTTCATGAGTCTTTTCGTTCATAGAAATAATTTCTAATCAGTATTTTCTTTCCTTATATATATGTACATAAAACTATCTTATTCTGAAATGCTATTTTAAAACCTTTGACATTAATATATCATATACTCTCTTACCAATATTATAAGTAAGCATACATATATAATACCATATGAAATTCAAATGTATATATATTCTTATTTAGCAAGTTTGTTGTTGACATTTAATTTTTTTCCCATTCTCTTTGGAGAGCTTGCTTGTATAAAAGACAATGTCTTATTGATGTATTAGTGTAAATTATTAAACAATGGAGTAGTGGCTTGAGTTACACTGCCAATGATAATAAAGGAGATTTTCTTCCCTTCTACTATTGTGTCTATATGTGTTTTTTTATTCTAACACACTATTTTAAAGTAAATTTTAAAGTAATTCATTAATTAATATATGTAAATTCTAAGTTACATTTCCCAAAATCTTTGGGTGACTTTTTTGTTTTGTTATCTTCTTTTATTTTTGCATAAAGAAATAGCTAAGAAGATTTTTGGTTTTTGCTTAACAGGGTCGCCCTTGTGGACCAAAGAAAGACTTGAACCAATAATACTTCAAAATGGTCAGTCATTGGTGCTTCCCTGTAGACCTCCAATTGGATTACCACCAGCCATAATATTTTGGATGGATAATTGTAAGTCTTAACACTAAGAATTTTCTTCAGTTGACTTATGCTTACTTTTCATAATAGTTTACCTCCTCTTACAAATCATAAAGTGCTTATAAAATGATCTATATGTGCTCAGAAAAAAAGCAGCTTACTGAAATAAGTACCATGCTATTTAATTCATTAACTATGCCATACACTGCTATGGATCAACAACACCAGAAAATACTTGCTGTCACAGGGCTTGCCTTCTGCACAACGAGGTGAGCTGAGAAGAAAAAGGAGGTAAAAAAATGTATTTTGAAAATCTATATCAGTCAACAATAAATTTTATGGAAGAAAAGAAACCAGAAATGTGAGCGTAGTGCTAATGGGGTGGAGTGAGAAGGCAAACCAGTGGCCTGCTTATCTGTGTGAAAAGGGGCACTGATGCAAGCCCTAGGGCAGAACATCCATAAGATGTTAAGAACAACAGAAAAAGTGGCTATATTGAAAGAGCCAAGGGAAAGGCTTGTTTTCCCCTCTGAATGAAGTAGTAAAATGTTAGAATATATTTATCAGAAATAAAATAATTAGTAAAAAGTAAAAATAATTAGTAAAATTTCCATTCGTGTGTTGAAAGCAAAGACAAAAGAAAAGTCGGGGGAGGCCAGGATGTGACACAGTGTGTAGTTTAGTGGTAGACCACTTGTCTAGAATCTGTAAGGTCCTACATTCAATCCCCAGCACTTGAAAAAGAAAAAGTGGCAGAGTCCAATTAGGTGTTTATTATAATCCAGGACATGGTTAATGGTGACTTGGAACTTGGGAGGCAGCAGTAGAGTGTTTGTTGGTGCTACTTTTTCAAACGCTACTTTATTTGGGAGCTCCTTAAAATTTATGCCTCTGCATCTGCTTTGATACACTGCTAGGTAGAGTCTTTCAGAGGCCCTCTGTGTTGGGCTTCTGTCCTGTTTCTTGTTTTCTCCTTCTTCCAGTGTCCTTCCCCTTTGTCTTTCTAAGTGAGGATTATCCCTTTTACCCTGGGTCCTCCTTCTTGTACCCACCTATAAGTGAGTACATACCATGTGTGTCTTTCTGCTTCTGGAATACCTCACTCAGGATGATCTTGAGTGCAGGGAATCATATGAAAGAAGGTAATTAGTAAGACCTGGAGAGTACATACAGGAGCTCCACAAGGAGAACAACAGAACCAAAATATCTGGGCTCAGGGGTATTTTCTGAGACGGATACTCCAACCAAGGTACATTCATGGACATAACCTAGAA